AGGGAAACTCCAAGGTACAACATTCCCACTTGGCTAAGTACAAGCTAACCAATAGTCAGGAGGGAACAGCCCAGCCTGCAGAGAAAGGGAAAACTCCAGGGCTCCATTTCAGTTCCCCAGAGAAGGGTACTGAAGAAGAACAGGACCATTTCAGGTGCAGGATCCATTTAAGCTGTCACCTGAAGAACAACACCCAACTGGAAGGTTACCTCTGCACCTCAGAAGCGGCGACAGGAATTCTGTACAGGTCCAACCCTGAGAAACACAAGAGCTGTGCACAGTGACTGTCCTTTGGGGAGGAGACTGCACTGACAAGCAACACAACAGCCCTCAGGGGAACCTCCTGCTCCATGCCCACCTTCTTCTTGTATTCCGCGATAGCTCCCAGGTTGGGTTTCATGTCGTGACACTGGGCTTCCAGGAGAGCGATCTGATTAGTGATCACGTTGGGATCCTGGACAGCCTCAAGCTCCTCCTGACTCAGCACTGGCATTTCTTCAGGAGGTTTGTCATCTATGGCGTGCAGTGACAATTTGGATATCTGAAATTCAGAACCAGTTACTTGCATTCTTTAATGGTCACGTGAGTAGTCACATGAACATGTTTCTAAAAGAAACATTCTCTGTATTAGAACAGACTGAAGCTTCCAATCTCATAACAAAGATTCTTCACATAACTCCCTTTAAAAAAAAGATGTGCAAAAGACAACAAATACCCCTGTACCCTATTGTTCTGCTCCTGAAAACTTTATACATCATTCTTACAAAGGAGAGATTTCTCTGTAGTAGGAGCAGATAATGAGTGAAATCACCTCTACTGCTGCCAGCAAGATGGCACTTTATTACTGGCCCCAGAGAATTCCTGTTGGCCCAATTATGTATAAGTGGGGAAAGGCAATTTGATGTCCCAGGTGGACCACAAGTTCTAGGTGAAATGCATTCAAGGTCTTGCGATTTTATAAAGAACAGCACTGAACACAGTTACACAGAAGTTGTGTTTTACCCTTCTTTGCTTTCCTTACCCATGAGGGTGCCTACCCTTTTAAAACATTCTTCAGTGTATACAGAGAGAAGGGACAGGCACAGCAAGTGCCTACTTATTTTCCTCTTATTTCTTTTAATGATTCACAGATAGTGCTATGGCTGTTGCAGTTATCCTACAAGCCTTTCAGAAATAAAAGAACCTTGAAAAACTAGAAGCTAAACAATTTAATTCATAACTCACCCATAACCTTGTATGTAAACAAGAAAGTAAAAGTCTGAAAGGCCAGCTGTTTACAGCATAAACACCAAAAATCTGTGAGCTGGACATGAATTTTCTCCCAAATTATCTGTTTTCTAACTACACATTAACCTATTAATCTTTTGAGATCTTACCATTCAAATTTTAGGAACTAAAAATTTCCCTACCTCTTTTTGCCAGTATTTGATCTTTGACTGGTGTGCAGAAATATGGCTATCAATTTGTTCTATTTTCAGCTTAATATTAAGAGCTTCCTTTTGAAGTGCATGTTCATCATCCTGAACGATTTGAATCTCCTTGAGTAACCCACGATGCTCCTCCTGAACTTCTGGCAACGCTTCCTGAACAGAAATGACAAAAAAAAAAGTTCATTAATCAGTTGCCTCACAAAAATCTTCCCATTTTCTTGGGTTATAGGTTGGTTTTCACTATATTATTCCCAGAGCTTACTCTCCACAATCCTCAGTATTGATGTGAACAAATACATATTCTTATACTGAGGTTAACCTGGTCCTTGAATTCTGGAATGACTGAAAATATGCTGCAGTTTATATTTTCATTCCAGGTCTGGATGAAATGAGTCCCACACTCGGATGTTTTTAGCTAAAAGGCAGTTTTAGAGAAAGACAGTTGCAAAGAAACAGCTTTATTTGGAAGAATTTCAGCTGTCATGGTTGTTTTCACTCTCCCATACATAAATCTAGAGGGAAAAAACTGAAGTCCCACATAACTGGATAAAAATCTATTTTTAAACAAGGGTTTAAACCCAATATTTATTTGCGAAATCTTGGAGTTAAATTTTTTCTTAGCTTCAGAAAACTGAGTCAGATAAATTTCCACCATTCCCTGTCCATCATGCACAACAAAATCTGAAGAATAGAACAGAGGTAGGATCTAAAAACAATATAGCTCATCATCCTGATTTTACCTGATGACCAGACCCCTTCCTAGGACTGGTTTAGGCTAATTTTTTCCCTCAGCATCTATATTTAAAGGTCAAGAGTCAGATAAATTTCCACCATTCCCTGTCCATCATGCACAACAAAATCTGAAGAATAGAACAGAGGTAGGATCTAAAAACAATATAGCTCATCATCCTGATTTTACCTGATGACCAGACCCCTTCCTAGGACTGGTTTAGGCTAATTTTTTCCCTCAGCATCTATATTTAAAGGTCAGCTCCTCTAAAGGACAAGCTGTTACCTACAATTGCCTTCACAGACTGAATCCTGTGAAGAAGTACCATAAATGAACACAATACTTACTTCAGCTTGTTTGCAGTCATTTATAACCTTGGTAGCTTTGTCTTCTAGCGTAGTCAGTTCTTCTGTTAAGTCTTTCATTTCTTTCTCATTATCTTTAATTTCCTTCTCTGTGCGAAGAACAGACTCTTCAGACTTTTTCAGGTTTCTGAACAGGTAGAGAGATGTTTCAATACCTCACCAGTGCAAATCTGACATGAAATTATCTAGACACACAATCTTAAGCATTGTTCAATAGCTACTGACAACCAATAGAAGTGCCAATTTATGCATGAACTCTCCCACTCGTCAGATACCCCCAGGTGAACAAAGTTGTCTTCCTTCAACATAAAGCAAGCAGGTCTCACTAAATCACTTAATTTCTTCCTTCAGACAGTTTTGACATTTGTTTCAAGTATTCATTATGTAATGCTACAATAACATAAAAACACATCACACTTTATTTCCTGACATGCCTCACAATAGTTAGTCCCTTCAGATCTGAGCTGCTCCCCTGCATGGCAATTCAGGGCTAGTTTCCATCTGTATCCTAAATCCTGCATGCTGCTGCTAGGCAAACATTAGCAGGAACATACTGATTAAATGTGACTTTTCAACTGCTTACTAGAAACTCCAAAGTTTTCTTTCCCTTTACCTCCTTGATAGAAGCAACATTTAGTACTAGAGATACAATGGAAAGTTCAGATTTCAAGAAGAGGGGATTTTCAGCTATGGCAGATGTCCTGCAGGCACTGATGCAACAGATACAGCTGTTTGAAGCTGAGGTGACTCTCCTTGCTCAGCTTTCACTTAGGCTCTGATCCTTTGCATGTAATGCACACTAATTAACAAAGATTATAGTTTTTCATTAAGAACCAGTCTCAGTTTGAAGTCAATCAGCTTAGAGGAAAAGGCTATGACCTCCTCCCTGCAGTTTTCCTCTAGCCATAAAGAGGTGAAAACCATCTCCTCTGGCCTGACAAATCCCACCACCCCAGGAAGGTCCGACTGCAATTAAACACGAGTTGCAGAAAATGCAACAACAGCCTGAATCTTCACTGCTGAGCACACTGATGTCTACTATACCTGTCTGCAGTCTTGACTGCCACTTGGGCTTTAGTAATAGCTGAAGCACACTCATCTATTTCTTTGTTGATCTTGTCAAGTTTGTCTTGCTGTGCTTTAAGTTTATGATTATTGATCTCAAGGATGAGGTTGTGTAACCGTTTAACTTCCTTCTCCACCTTGCCAGCTTTCTGCGCGATGTCATCGTACTCTGTGGATACACAAACCCAGCTCAGGTCCCTGCTGACCCGAGTGCTGCCACACATCAAGATTCCAGTGGGAATTAATCGATTGAGAAATGCACATACTGCTTTATACTGTGAAAGATGTTTCATTTTAAGAGCATGGCAAAAAAATCCTTTATTTCAGATCATTACCCTCAACATTAACCATTCTTAGCCCTAGTTGTATTGAGTTTCCCTAAGAGTCTGTATGGAATACAGCCATAAAAATCTAAACAAATACTAAAATGAATGTTTACTTTAGCTTGATTGAAACATGAGCCCGAGAAATTACCTTTTTTATAACTATTAAGGATTTTTTCCAATTCCTTCTGTTTGTTCTTGTCTGGAGCAGCAGCAATTACATTTGCTTCAAGTTCCTTAACTTGGTTTCTTAGATTAACTTCTTGTTCAGATAAACTCTACAGAAAACACAACTGTGTTAGAATCCTGTGGGTTAAAAAGATCCTTGATGCCAACAAGGACTCTGTGAAGCTGAGGCTGAGAAGTTATCCCCCTGCCTGTTGATGGAGAGGCCAGACATGGCCTCTCTAATAACCATGTTCACCTGCATACTGGCTGTGTACTTTTCTAGAGTATTTCTCATTTCCCTGATATCTTGGCGCAGTTTTCCTACGGCTTCTTCAAGTTGTAGTTTCTCTTCTCCATATTGTGTTGCCCGTTTGGAATCCTTCTGCAGCTGAGATTCCATTTTATTGACCTACACAAAAAGGAGACAAGATCACTTGCCTAGCATCACCTCTACAAAACCAAGCAAGATCTCATTCATGTGCTCAACAGTCTATGATTTCTTAAAACACAAGAAGAAAGTGGAGTAAAAACTTGAAAGTTCCTGTAGCAGGAGAGAATCTGGAAGTTGACTGCTGAGAAGATCAGTTCTCATAGTGAAAAACCAGAGGAACAAGAACAAGAAAAAGTAAGCTGAAGAATCCCTGTCAAATAGCTCATAATGGAGAATCTTTTTATGGAAATAAAACCGGCTTAAGCTTGAAAGGTTTAAATGAGAGTAGTGAAGGCAGAAACAAAAAAACACACAAGCAGAAGCTAGGAGCAATTTTTACTATTGTTAAGATCTGATGGTTGTTGGTTTCTGTGGTATGTGGTGTGAGGAAGAGAAGCTTTTGCACACAGTTACTGTTCAAGTGACCAAAGTTTAGCAATTCACTCTCAAGAGCAGAAGGAATCAGGATGCAATTCAGCTCTCAGCCCACCTTCTGTTTTTACATACAAGTCCTGCAGGTCTTGCAGGTGTGGATGTGAATACACTTGTTGGCCCTGGAGTCGTGCACTATGCTAAACAGGTACAAGAGCCAAAACTCCTGAAAATGGAGAAATTAAGTTACAGCTACAGATCTTTATGGTGTGTCACAGCATCTTTCATGGGCCAAACAGAAACCAGTAGAAAGTAGATCAGCCTGTCTCATGGGAGGAACAATGAATAAGCCTGAAGCGTGAACATTCTTGAAATACAGAATTGAAGGAAAGCTCCACCACTCCCTGACACATCTTAAAAGGACATAAAATGAAGGAGCAAATCCATCTTCTCTTGCTGCTGAGGTTTGTGTCCACTGCTCTGCAGCTCAATGGTTCCTCACGATCATCATCTTCCATGTTCTCATCCCTACATTCAATCAATTCCCAAGCTACCAAAGTAACACTATGAGACCAAAAATTAAGTAACAGGCATAGCTGGGCTGTGAACAAACGCACTTAGCAAGAATGTAACCTGTGCTGACTTTGTGAACTGTAGCTTCATCAATCACTGCTAATGTATCTGGCATCATGGACTGTTAACTGCTCATGCTGATTTAAAAAGACACATCATGTGTGTGAACTGCCAAAACAGAAGGAACTTCGACAAAATGCCACTTTCAATTAACATCATGTACTAACCTCTTCTTCTGAAATATCCATGATGACTGAGGAACCCATCCTGCCCTTCATGACTTTACCTCCTCCACCAGTCATTGTTCCTAAAGTAAGAGAGATGAAAAGTTAAAGAGCGACCTGTGCTTAGATACCATCCATAAAGTATTTAAATTAGAATTTTAAGTTTGCACTTAAATACCTGACTGTTCAATGATTTGTCCTCGCAGTGTCACCACCCTCCACCTTTTCTCTTTTTGGAAAGCTACTCTGGTAGCTTCTTCCAAGTTGCTGGCAACCAGGGTGTCCCGCAGGGCGAAGTAAAACGCCAGACGAACCTTCTCGTCCTCCACTTTCACCAGGTCAAACAACCGAGGGGTATTTTCAGGAGTTGGGATCTTTTGCATTTTTTTTTCCCATACAGTCATCTACATCACAAAAGGAAATATGAATGAGAGCTTCCTCAGGATCACTTCTGAGGTCATTTCATTAATCTAAGGTGTGTGAAGGCTTTAAAGCCAATGCAATTGTACAGGTATTAACAGTAAATTCTTCCTTGGAGGAGGAAGGATTATACTTCCAGTATAATTAAAAACTGATAACTCATTGTTCTTTTTCATAGTTTGCAGTTAGTAGATTACTTGGATTATTAAGTTTGCTAATTTGTTCTAAAAAATCTACACAGAAACATATACAAGACATAACAAACACTTGTTGTACACATCCAAGTATCTACCAAGCCTTGTCTAGAAGTAAACTTCAGCATTTGCTAGTAGAATATTCCAACAGCCTATGAAAACAGGTTTTATGTTTACCTGTATTAACACATACACAGCATAACGTATCAATATTTAGAAGATCTATTTATACAGATGCATACTAATACACTCTACATTTGCTACTGTGCACATTGGGGTAAATCAACAATTGTTTTGCTGAAGCATCAGAACTCACTTTGTCCAGGGCTATGAAGGTGGCAACTCCAACTCCTGAGGCCTTCAGGAAGTTGACGCAGCGCTGGGCAGTGTCAATTGTATCAACAACAATGTTGTCCAAGGCCCCGCAGCAGGAGGAAATGGCAACATCGTACTTCTCATCGATGGCTCCCAAGTCTCCCTAGGCATTCAGAAGTACCCGGGTTAGCCTGGCACCCCTCCTGGCTTGGTGTTAAGAAATCAAAACACTTTACACAAATGGAACGAGAGGAAACAAGTTCCAATATTCTTTTCTGTGACAGAACTTAAACCCGTATTACTTTACAAATTCCAGGACCACACCTGTCTCCTGCACTTAATCTATTCCTAGTGCACTTGTTCCATGGTAGAAACTTCAGGCCGTTCTACAAAGTGTGTGGTTACCAATAGATTCTACCTTCTGTGGTACTAGAAGGTAAAACCCACTACTCCACAGAGGCTGCCTCTGATTTGGCTTCAAGACCAGGCCAGCAAAAAGAGAAAGCTTTCTCACAGCCTTTCCTCAGTGCTGAGTAGAGGAACCTCAACAACCTTTTTAACTTATAGCAAGTCTACAGGCTTTGCAACTCTGCTGTCCAAATCCATAGCACCAGGGAAGTGAGGAATTCCACCTTTCATTCGATCACAAAAACACCACTCTTACAAAGTTAAAGACTAAAATTCTAAGTAGCCTTTGAAAATTTACCAGTCTTCCATAGAGTCCATGAATATTGCCAGATTTCTTCTGCTGAAGCAGAGCCTCAAGCACTTTTCCTCGACTGCGACTTTGTGCTAAAGAACTTTTGGCTTCTTCTACTTTCTGACGTAGATTTCGAACAAGATCCTTAGCACCCAATTCTTCTCTTCCCAGCTTCTCAAGCTTATTCTCCTTCTAATGGTTAAACAAAAGACATTATCTTAGCCTCAGGAAAACAACTGTGTTCACAGAGTCTTAGATTCATCATTGTGTAGGCAATGAAACCAGTCACTGAAAAGTAGAAGTAGCAAACATTCATGGGAAGCATGGCTGGCACTTGGATACACTTCAGATATATTTAGTAGACTTTGATACAAGTCTAATAAGCTTATGAATTCATGAATCAGGCTTTGGACAAGGTAGTGGGATTTTCTTTCTTTGGGGAATGAGGGAGGAGCAAGAACTGAGATTCAAAGGCAGCTCACAAACACAACCATTTTTTATTTCAACATGTCTCATTATGTGGGATTGAATTTCAGTGCTTAACAGTAACAATTCCTTAATCCAAAATCAGTTTGAAATAAAATACTGAGTATTAAAATGTAGGTTTAAAATGTCAGTATATTTGAGACAGGTTGTAGTTTATTTTCACATGATTATTGCTAAGAAGAACAGAACTTCGGTTTGGGTATTGCAACATTGTGCTGTAGCTTGAAGAAATCATAGATGAAAGTCAAGTCTCACCTCCTTCAAGTCCTGTTCAGCTTGGGGTAGTTTTCTTTCTATATCTTTGATGGCAGCTTTCCTTTCCTTCAGAGTTTCTGAAGTCGTGGTGAGAGCCTCCTTTGCCTGCTGTAACTGGGCCAGGGCAGTATTGTAGCAGCTGAGGTAGAGATCGAGCTCGGACTGCGCCACATCCATCTTGGAACGTGCCTCGTTCACCGCTTTACTCAACTCCATGAGCTCCTTCTCGTTGCTCTGCAGAAGTGGACAATGTTACAACTACAGACAGACAGCCCTGGGATTTCTTACATCAGTCACACTCTATGAAAGGAAAAGAAGAAAAGGGCATATTCTTTACTAGCTCTCCTACCAGCAGAAAATAGTTACAAGAACAAGTATTACTTACTTTATTAACATGTCAGTTATGTTATCTAGAAGAACAAGTATTACTTACTTTATTAACATGTTCTGTATGGAATTTAAGTAAGGCATTTTTCATCATTAAACAGAAGAACAGGGAATTACCACAGAAAATTGCCCTACAAGCTTTGTATTGTTTTCTGAAAGATGGGAGGAGCCCAACCCATTGTGCTAAATAGCAGGTCAAACACAGAAACCATGTTTTCAAGTACAGAAGATAATCCCCCAGATTTACAGGACAAATTTGCAGCTTCCAGGTGTTTAGTGACTGAACAGCTAATATCAACAATAACCAAGTGTTACAGTAGCTGTCTGTTAATTCAAAGACAGATTACAGCTGTGTGAAGGGCTCAGAATATACCCATTTCAAAATCTGTTAATTTGTTTAAGCCACACACTGTTTTAAACATTTTGATGGGAGAAAAGTCAAGTGAGTTGAAATAATGGAAGTGTAGAATTATTTCCTATACAGATATGTATGATATACTTGACACATGCTCACTATAAAAAGCAGACAACTTAATGAGAAGGATTTAGCTCTGATCATAAATTCAAAACTGGTTTCCTAGCTAGGCTTCATTGACCTAACACATGGAAAGTGTATGTGTCATAGAAAATAGCATTTTACAACTACGCCATGATAAGCTCACTCTTCAGTATAAAACCATCAGTTACTACGCTCAGTGTACAAATTCAAAACAGTTCAAACCTCTTTCTCTTCTTGAAGTCCTTGTGTTTCTTCCTTCAGGCTATCCATGACCTGCTTGAGTTTGTCTTCTTCTTTCTCTTTTGCCTTCTCAAGAAGCTCTTTCTTAGACGTTGCTTCGCTGATAGCTTTTTCACTATTGGAAGGTACATTTTTCAGTTCTTCTACCTAGGCAAGGAAAAGCCTTTTAACTTCCTCTCCCACAGAAACAAACCAGTTTTGCCTTATCTCTAACCCCTGCCTTTCAAGGAAGCATAAGCCCTGATGAAGCTCACGTGCTTTTGCAGGATAAGATAACCTGGGGCTCTAGCATGAGGCCAGGACTCTATTTGCAAGGCTTGTTCAGTTCCAGAGCCCATGCAGAGAGAAGCAGCCACAGCAGTAACACAGCTTTACACGTAAGAATTCATGTCTTTGAACCACAATAAGGATTAATACTCTCAGAAACCACTCTGGATCCAGAGAGATTTAAGACTTGTAACAGCTGGCCACAATCAACCTGGTAAAATATATCCATTCAATTAAGTAAATTAACTATGGAAACAGGGGAAAATGCAAAGGTTTGAAAAGGTAAGAACAGTGAGAACATTGAACATATTCCTGGAATCTCAACGAACATGATAAAAAGATGCTTTAAAAGCCTTGAGACTTCCCAAAAGGGCTGAGGAGGAGCAGGAAAGCTTTAGGCAGAAAACAGCCTGCACAGCTGGCCATCATCTCCCACCCTCACAAGTGCAGTGAGCAATGGTTTAAGGGAGAATCATGCAGTACTTCAGTGAGTGATTTGCAATCAAAATCCCCACCTGATTTAAATGACATCAAATACCTGATTAAAAAAAAAAAAATAAACATGTTTCCATCTGCTTTGTTGCACCAAGTACAGTTGGTGTCCTTTGCTGTTTTATCCCAGCCCCACAAGGATGTTTTCATCTTGAGCAACCAACCCAGTAAATCAAGTGCAGTTCACACTACCTTTTCTTTGTCCTTTTGAAGTTGCTTCTCCAGTTTTTTAGCCTTGCTTTTGGCATGCTTTAGCTTTTCCCTTACTTTCACATCCTGCAAATCCAACTGCCTAAATTTTTCTTTATTTTCCTCTATGAACACTGTAATTTTGTTGAGTTTCCTAGAGGGGGAAAAAAAGAAGGAACAATCCCTTCCATACTCTATAAAAACAATGTCAGTAGAGCTTAGCTTAATAAGGATGTAGAATTTAAACCAATATTTATCAGTTTTTGTGAAAAACAACATACAATACTTACTAGATTCACAGTATTTTCCCCAGGGAAGTGATGTTTCATCAGAAAAAGATGAACTAACAAAGCAATATTAAACACATTTTCAGATTTTTTTTCTTTGATAGAATTTATAATTCACACCTCTCACTAATAACTTCCTAAGATCTCAGAGGATGAGCTAAGGTTAATATTGCAGCTGGATTGGAGATGAGCATCCAGATAAATCAACTGTAGGAAAACAATTTATGCATAAAAAGATTCATAAGGAGACCAGAGAAAAACACCTATCATCCGTGGACATTATGGTTATATACCTAAAAACCTGAAACAATCTCCCAATTAATTTTTTTAGTCAATATAAAAAATATGTACTTTAAATAATCTATCAAAAATCAGACCTTTTCTTGTAACTACCAATATTATGCAGATTTGTCCAAGAGAAACAACATGTAGAACCAAATCAAAGCAATGAGGATTGTTTTTTCAATTTATTTTTGTGCAAAAGATTATTTAATCAATGCCAGGAAATGTTTAGATACACCACAGGTGACTCTGCTCATCAGATAATGTAAGATCTTGGTGGAAGAACTACTGGGAAACCCAGCTGTGCTCCCTGTATTGGATCATCTTCCCATGCAACCATCATATACTTTTGCTTCCTCAGGTGACTTCACCCGAAAATGCAACAAAACAGCTTGTTCTGAAAGTCCTGCTAACTCTACCACCAGAGCTGCAGAACAGATAAACCACAGTACACTCAGCTTACGAATCTATACCTGCAGCACTTACTTTTCAAGTTCTTTCAAAGCTTTGTTCTTGGTTTTCATCTCATCTGCAAGTTTGCTACTCTTCTCATTAACCTCTTTTGTTTCTTCATTAACTTTTTCTTTCTGTGTTTCCAAATCACTTACTCGTTTCTTTAGGTCATAGCTAGGAAAAAACAACAATCAAACCAAAAACTCCACTTTTTGCCATAAAACTAACATTAACAATTAATACATATTTCCAATCTTAAGTATAACAAAGTGATTAAGTATTAAATCCAAATACCCATTATTGAGTAACCCTGCCACTGTCCTGCAAAGCAGTAAGGAAATGTAACAACTTCAACACTTCAGATGAAAAAGTCTTTAAGAAATTTGAATATAAAGTTGTAAGAAATTCATTTGCCAGGCTACTTGACTTTGAAAAAACCTGGAAAGCAGGTTTTTGTTTCATTTTTTTGTTGGTGGTGTTTTGAGGGTTTTTTAAAAGGTTTTCATGTAAATGGTCTCTATTTTCTACACGCTGTTCAACTGATTCTGAAGGACTGATACAGCTGTTAAGAAATGCAAAATATTTCTAATCAGAGACATGGCAGCAGTTGAACACCCCCACTACCACATTAAAGCCAGGGAAGGGAAGCATTTTGCTAGATCATCTTTTAAGTTCCCTTCCAACTCAAACCATTTGATGGTGATGACACTTACATGTAGTATTGACAGATCCGATTCTTCTCTTTAAACATTTTGTTTTCCAAACACAGAAATTCCATGGCTTTATTCTTGTCTCCTTCCAAGGCATCCTTTTCTTTTTCCACCATTTTAACTCTATTTAACTAGACAAGAGAGTCAGAGCTGACTTTACTGCCAGTACTAGAAAGGAACAACCCATGAGGAGAAACCCCCCCCCAACCCTTTGTAGCACACGTGTCCTCTGGAGAGATGGTCTTCAGCAATGAACTCTGCAAGGCAATTTAGGGCTACAAGCCTTCTGAAATCACAGATCACCATTTCCACCACAGAGACTAGACTTTGAGGGCAATTCAAACACTACCTGAAAACTAAGAAAGGAAATAGAGGAAAAGGTAGGTGAGAAATAAAGAGTGTGACCAGTTTTCTATATTTCAACCTTTAGACTAGCCCCTTTTAAGACAGTATCTGCAACTATATCTTCTGTTTTCCTTCCCAGCCTTTAAAAGAAGTCTGCAATGTATTAGGATTTACCAAGGACACACCAAGCAAAAAGAGCTTTGATCTTATTTAGTACTTCTAGAACTCAATGCATAAATAAAATGTTAGAGTGCAATGGATCTGCATAGCTCAAGTCCCAGCTACTGTTCTGTGTCGTTACCTCCTCACACAGCTGTGTGTGCATCACCTCACCAATGCTCTGCCTCCCCCTCTCCTTTCCTTAGCACATGAAGTGTTTCCCTTCTCCTCTCTGCCGTTTGGCAGCAGGAGGCAGGCAGATGAAAAACCCTTCCTGAATGTATTCAGGTCCTGACCAGCTCTATTCTCTATATCTGTTTCTCACCATCAGAGGGGTCAGCAGGTAAAACCCCCGAGTTCCAACTCCGGCACTGAAACTTTCGGGAACCCAACAGCATTGTAAATGCTTAAAGAAGGGTAACTGCTGTTGACTGCCCATTTCTTTTATAATTGAGGTGAAATAAAGGTAACTCAAAGTTTTTTCTGCACTTCTACTCTTGTAGAGGAGTGCAACATTTCAAACAAGTCTTTATGTTACCTGTTTTCCTAGAAAATCCAATAACGGAACACTGCAAATTTCGAATTTTTATTTGGAATTCCAACCAAACTCTCCAAGACTCACCTTTTCTCCTCTTTGATCATTTAAAACCTCTACTCTGCGACACAGAGCTTTGATAGGCTCTTTTAGGCGTGCAGATCCTATCAAGTCTTCCAAGTATTCCAGCATTCCTTCATCGTGTTCCGTCTGGCCTTTGGGTTTCATCATGGCGATCTGCTCAACTTCCCCCTTGGAAAAGAAAAGGTTGATCTTTTCTTATTTTTTTTTTCCTTCTCCTTAATTCTGACAAAGACACTGCTGGAATGCAGGCATGGGACCATCTTCTAGCATTAGGAAGAACAAAATGATGCAGCAACCAGAAGTGACTGTTTGGAGCAGCAATATATTTGGGAAAGCAAAGATGAATATGAATAAAACTTCCTGCAAGGAGTGCATGGCATGATGTGTGTGGACACCAGCATCTCGTCTGGAGCCACTACTCAGGTTTAAATATTGCTTCTCTCTAAAGATTCAAAATTGACTTCCCCAACCTAAAAAACAGGAGAATAAAGGCTGCCCTCTAGGTCATGTAGCACCCAGTAGTCTTCAGGTAGCTGAATCAGGACTGAAGTCCCTGCAAGGTTCTCATTAGAAAACGGAAGGTCCATAAAAGCATTTCTGATGGATGAACTAGACTTGTCATTCATACAACTGAGACTTCCTTGTTGGATAACGAAAAACATTCTATAACTATTAGGCTCCCTTTGTTTATGTACAGCATTAACTTTGAATTACCAAGCTGAAGAGTAACAATAATTTTATTTTTTTTAAATAAGAATTAGGAGAGATTAAACGAAGACCATGACAAGGACTGTTTATTTTAGACAAGCCAACAAAAAACCCTACTATCAATATTTTATGCTTAAGTCTTTCTTGCACTCTGACAATTCCTTTGTCAGAGTAAAACAGAGGTCAAAGTGGCTTTTTGTTTAGTTTTTAAGTTAAAATTCTTGAAGTTAAATGAATCTAAGCCTTTATTTTCCGGTAATCACTGTTCCTAAAGAGTGTCAGCGGGTTTGACAAGACAAAACCAACCAAACTATAGAACCCAACTCTTATTTTAATTTGTTTGCCAATCTTCTATCCAATTTCTATGCAACTTTCTATATTTCTAGATGCAGTTTTCTATATTTTTCTCTTTTCTATGCAAGAGGCAAGCAAGTTCAGAATCACATAATCTCCATTTGATGTGAGGAGATGTAGATGGACTGCCTACTTACATTCTCAGGTTCTTATCAAGGGTAAAAATGAAAACATTTGTGATAGATAAATAATAACTGAGTAATAACAGGATTAACTATTATTTAATATTTCCATTATTTACCAAGTTAATATATTAAGGAATTTGTTTAGCCCACCCCCATTGTAACATAGTAAGAAACAAAAAGGTTTCCAGCTATTTTAATGGGTAAAGGAGACTGAAAAAGTTATACCTACCCTTCTTGCAAATAATGATGACAATTATTAACAGGGGAAAAACACAGCTCTGAATTCTGGTAAAACTTGATAGTCAATTTAACTGCTTCCTAACTTTTTAACTGTGCTGATTACTTCACCCATTGTTTGAATTTAAAAACAAACCAACACACAAACCAGCCTTGCTTATTTATCTAGTGAAAAGAACTTCTGAAGTACAGACAGCATGTTTGAAAGTGAAACTAAGAAGGCAGCAGGCAGACATTTGTTGAAAACATGCTTGGGCATGCTTAACAAAGCTGTCCCACCTGGATTTAAAAAGTCTCAGAACAGACCAACAGGAAATGTCTTTAATCATTTACCTCCGTTATCTTCCTCTAGTTCACAGGCATAAAGCAATGTGAAGAGAGGGAGCAATGTGCAAGTTAAAAATAAATAAATAAACCCTCTATTTGGTTAAGAAGACAATCAAAATGGATGTCAACAGGAAGACACTGGTGGCACTAGCAGGGAGCTAACAAAAAATGAAATATCCACAAAAGTGAAGTAAGCACCACATGAAAAAGCATCAAATATCCATTGAGGATTTTGGGAAGGCTCTAGACTCAGCACAAGAACTCTCAACAGAATTACAAACCCAATTTCAGTTTCTGCATTGTCTGCCAAGTCTCCTACCTCAGCCTGAAGGGCTCAGTGAGATGGTGGCACATGCCTGTAGTAGGCAGTCAGCTGAGACACTGGGTAATGAGCTGACATCTGAGTGACAGGTTCCACTGAACAGCTAAGCTTACCTACCAGAAAACACTTGTTGGCACATCCTAACAGACAGCACAGGTTTACCTGAGGAGAAACTTCTAAGCAATCAAATTAACTGACAGTGGTAGCAAATCATGAGGAACCTTGCTTAAGAGTAGGTTACAAGGTTATTAAAAAAGGGCAAGAGCCATTGAAAGCTATTTCCTCTAGTGAAAAACATAAGGAATAACTTCAAGAACCTTGAAACCTGGTGATTCTACCTTCCTTTGCATAGCTAAACTCGAGGGGGTGAATATATTTCATTTAAATTTCTATCATGTACAAGAGCAAAAATTTTAAAGCAAGTAAATTGTAAAAGCCTTCAAAAACCAGTGTAAGAATTGATCATAATAACACAAAGCATTTGAAACCAATGAGTCAGTGGAGAAGACAGTGAGGGTGGGCGTGAGCTCAGGGTGAAGCAGCAGCACAGGGTGCAGCAGCAGCAGCACCTAGACCAATGTTCCAGCCACCGGGATGCCAGGGGAGGTGCCCACAAAGAGCTGCTCAGCTGGCACAAGGAGCAACATCGGCAGCATCTTCTAGTGCTACTTCAATGCTACGAGGCTGCCAAGTGTAATTGAAGTTGTGTGCATGTTAGTAGAAGTTAGAGCTGCACCCTACGAGTATGTTAGGACTACATTTAACTGAAAACACCTGAAGACACAGAACCAACCAAACTCCCGTTCCTGTGCTGTACGCACACTCTGCTGGCCTCGTGTCAGACTAACGCTGTCAGCAGGACAAGCACATCCCCACCAGTGCAGGCAGCTCATTGCAACAGCAGCACTGGCTGTTGGGTGGAACTTCCCAGAGCACATTTCACCCCCCATGTAGCCCTCAAAAGGTGGGACAACAGCACGTCTGCACTCTCCAGTATCTCATTTCTTAGAACTGCTACTTTCTCTAAAATTACACATTCATTTCTTAAAGCAGCTAATCCTGTCAGAACAGAAAGCTTTTAATCTGAGTCTATCAAGTATTTTCTGGCATATAAAGATTTCAATTTTAAACAAGTTTATCAAACTGCTTGATAGAGGAAAGTTTTGATCTACTCATTAAGCTGCATTTCTGGAACCTTTGCCACAAGTCTTGAAACAGGACCCTGCTTCTCCGTGGTGTAGTAACTCCTGTCTGCTGCTGCTGGCAGACAGCAGCCTGGTGTTCCAGCTGCCTTCCTCTACATGGAGGCTGTGGGCTGAAGCCCTGACTCCAAAGCCAAGAATTCCAAATGGCATCATACACTGATCCCAACACTGACATTCTCCAGCCTCAAATGGTGATAAACTGTAGCCAATGGCAATTTGTGCTGTGCACAGGAGTTCAGTCTGTGCTGGTGCTGGAATGATGGGAGTTTTTGTAGCTTGGAATCCAGCAGGTGCAATTGTACCACACTCCGGAGTGGGAGTACTTGGTAGCTTGTATGCTTTTTTGAGGGGAATTCTCTGTGGCAGTTGGTGTGTTTCAATTTTTGGAGTTTTTTGGGGGTTTTTTCGGTAGTGGAGCTCCTCAACACTAGTCAAATTAAAAAGTAGAGTAATGCATCTAGCCCAACTGAAATTCACAGTCAGTTTTGCTCAGGAGGAAGAACTGTAGAGAAAATACTGCCTAGAAGCTCCAATACTAAATATTGGAGAAACCTTCCCTGTTTTTACACACGGCTGAGAGTCTCAGTCAGGTGTTACCTTAGGGCAGGACAGCCTGTTTGTCTCAGTTTCCCACTTCAACTGTTTCAAGTGGGAAATCTTCTGAACCCTTTGTGGAACTGCCCTGTGTTTTATCATTTATATCAAGGCTTAAAAATCACACTTTGTTGATACTGATGAATCAGGCAAATCCTTTTGACCAGCCTTCCTTCTGGTTTATGTTCTCCAGCTTTGAGGTGCTGGGCAGGAGGAAAGCTTTACTGCTTCTTCCAGTTGTACAGAAGCAGCCTATTGCAAATAGAGAGCATTTCCTGTAAGAACCTGGATATTTTCCTCTCAATAGTTTCCCAAGTTCCAACATTTGGATTTAACCCCTCATATGTAGCTGTCAGACCCTCCCAGCTGGGGTTCTGCATCAAACCATGACAACAGCTTCATTCCAGAACCCTTTTGCTACAAGCATTTGGAGCAATGAAAAGGAAAATAAACCAAGCTACTACCACCTATCCAATTTCTACTTCCTGCCTTCTAATAGAAATGCTACAGCACTTAAGAGAAATCTCTCAGCTGGGGTTACAGTCAAAACAGATAATTTGTTTCAGGATTACATTAAACTAACACAAAATTTTAGCTATAAATTATATTATTACGATATTTGGTATTTTCAAGGCAATCACAGTTTTTTTTAAATTCAAAACAATATTTTATTAAGTTCACTGTAATGGTAGCAGACTTTTGATACCATACTAACTTTTAAGGCTTCTTAAAGCACACATAAAAGGAAGTTTTGTCAATAAATCCAAAATCTTTAGCTATGCTATCCAGAGCATACCACCTGTTACAGCACAAGAATCTTGGAACTTCTTAATACTGTCAATGTGCACATTAGTTTGATTACTAAATGAACTGATTGAATTACAGTTTGTAACTTTACATTATTACAGAATTCCATTTCACTTCAGTGATATGCAAATACAGACAGTTGTCAGAACACCATTTAACTTCCCAACCATCACAAGATTAAGTCTTGTGAAGTTTGTGACAGTATAATTTTATATGTATGTATAAAAGATCTAAACATGTTGAATTTTAGATTAAAAGGGTTTAAGCATTAATGTTTGTTCCCAAAAAAGAGCCATTTGATTTATTAGGAAAACTGATACCACACTGAACCTGGAAACAATAGTGCTTTCTTTACATGCAACAGGTGATCAATGAACTTGTCCTTTAAGCACTGAACTGAAGCAAAGAATTGAACTGCAGAAAGCATAACCAGAGCTGAGAACAGCAGTACTTGGGAGTTACAGCAGGCACCACCAGCTCAGTTTGGTG